ATTGGTTTTGTATTTTGGGGAGTATTTTCGACAAGGATGGCTGTGTTTATTGCCCAATGTTATATGGCCCCAGTCATGCACAGTATACATCTGACTGTATGAAATGAAAATGAAAAAATGAAAATAAACATATTTGCATAGATCCCTGCCTTGCACAAATGAAAATTCACAAAAGGTAGAGGACATGGAGGACATGGAGAAGAATGAGAGCTATAAATGGTTATTTGGAACTGAAATATGTGGTCACCTCAGTTCACAGAATGGAAAATTATCCACAAGATACAGCTAAATGTCTCATAATTTTTGAGCTTGACTTCTCTATGTTCTTCTGGGTCTTTTTCCCTTTTAGTTTTTGTGAGAATAAGGGGAAGCCAAGAGACAATACTCAGATGCAAAAGGAATGCTAACACAGTTCTCACATTCAACCTAAGGGAAATTGTACCTCATCTGACAAACCAGTCTATTACTGCAAATTATTTTTAATGACTAAAAAAGAATTGAGTACAGCACAAATGTATTGTCTGATTTCAAATTTTTGCCACAGGAAATTTCTAACTAGATATTGTATAGAAGAGAGACCCTAATTGGGCATTTGGAGATTTGATTGATAAAATACAAAGTCCAACCACAGACATGCTTACTGAAAAAGTAAGATTGCTTTCGAATATCAGAAGGAGGAGGCTGGAATAAGAAGGGAAATGTTGCCTGTCTGTCTGTGTCTTCTCCATTGTATACATGCAAGATAGCAAGATATGCACCTCAAAATCTTCCCAGATACCTCCATTAATTGCAATTCTGCTTGCAGTTAAAAAATTCCTTTTTTGATTGTATTTGCTCCTTCATAGCAAATGTTTTCATGCTGATGGTGCCTTCTTTCCTCAGGTGAGAACACTGACAGGACACATGTTTAAATATACTGTTCAAAAGTTATCAAATAAGTTCAAGCATAGAATTCAAGCCTTTAAAATTATCTTACCAAATAGGAAGACAGAAATATGCATATTGCAAGGACGAAAATACCCATGACTACATCTGGTGGAGCTTCAGAACCACTGCGCCCCATAATGGGAATTAGGATTTCAAATACAAGCCGGAGAAGGTACATTAAATAGAGGTATGGAATAAACATTCCCAGGAGATAAACTGTTACAAATTTCATTGTAGCACCTGTAACAGAGACATAAACCGATTACAATGTAGAAATTGTAGCTATCGACTTTAGCCACCTTCCAACTCAGAGCATTCTAGAAGTTATCTGGTACAGTATTATGTCAATATAATTCTGTTTGAAGGCAATTATTGTGTTTTTCTTACAAAACAGGTAAGATGACTTAACAGATTAAACAATGGCTTAAAAAGCAGGCTAACCAGATTTTCTAACAATATGAATCATCATAGCTCTAGTACTACCATTTAAAAAGTGGATATGCCAGCAAGTCTTCAGCTCAAGATATAATTACTCAAGAAGGGGAACAATGGAACAAGTCTGGACATGCAAGTGGAGAAAGAAATTACAGACACTAATTTTTAAAATAATTTCCCATGCCTCAGTGCCTTCCAGTGATTACGAGAGTATAATTCTAACTCATCTGAAAGCCAACAGATTGAAGTTTTCTTACAAAGTAGATACATTTATTTTACATATTCTTTCAATCACATGAAGAATGGTTTAAAAAGTAAATCAACCAGATTTTTTAAATCATTTAAAAAAAACCAGCTATTTATGTAAATCTGTACATCAAGGCACAAAAGACCAACCAGGTTTGTAATTCATGCATTCTTTAAGTTAAGTTGATAAGAGAGTAGTAACTGTGTGGAAGAAAAAGGCTAACTCAAGGTTCTTTATTTCTGATTGATAAATAAGGGATTTGATAATTGATGGTACAAATTTGGTATAGTATGTCATTTAATCATAGCATGAATTATTCTTTTGGCCAGAACAGAAAGCCCTATAAAAAGCCCACAAAACAAATTTGTGCATTTCTTATAAATTGGTATGTCTGTTTCCTGATACCCTGAGTTGAGTGGAAATTACTTTCAGGCAAACTGGAACAAACATTGAGAGCCACATTGGAGTCTCAACAACAGCAAAATGCAAGTAAATTGGGAAAAATATGTATCTTTTTTTAAATTTACAAACATGTAAAATACACACACATACAAAACTTAGACGTACACCACATTTACACAATACAATATGAACAGGAGCTTCCTGTTCTTTCTAATAGCAATTGCCAATCAATATTGCTCACCTTTCCCCTTCTATTATATTTCATTTGCATTTCACCATTCTTAACCCTCTTATCTTACTCCTCTGTCTGCTATATTGGCTCATTACCTCTAGTAAATTTAAACCACTTGGATAAAATATGTATCATTTGTAACATCACTCAATAAATGATGTGCAGTAAACGTGTTTGTTTTTGCTTCCAATTAAAAACCAAGTTAGAGGAGATATATCCATGGTGGGTAGTATAGGTTAGCTGCTTCACATGCACATTTTAACAACTGATTTGAATAAGCTGTGTTGACCAAGCATGACGAAACTGACCTTTAGAAAGTTACACAGATTCTTTTAAAACATGTTCAAGAGCTAATTATGAATAATTTGTTCAATTTTATTCAATACCAATTATGGTATAAATACCAATTATGAATTTTAAAAGGAGGAGCAGGAAAGTCTGAACATTGATACCTAAGCTTACATATTTTAAGGGGGATAAACAAGAATTGGGCAATGCCAAAGTTCAAAATTGGTAGATGTGCTTCCTAGTACATTTTTTAATTTGACAATTTTGCTTTTTCTTTCCAACTTCCTATTTCTTCTCCTTATGCAGAAGGCTGCCAAAAAAAGGCATAGAGTGTTCTTGTCAGACATGTGAACTGTGTTTGGATTTGTGATCTCATGCCTTATAGTAAGTGTAAAGTTCCTAGTACCTCCTTATGGCCCTGGAATACTCTGGAGTAACTGACGCCAAAATAGTTTTGCCATTTTAGAGTTTTATAAGGACTAAATATGAATACTATAAACCTTACTTAAAGTTTATAGCATCTTATGTATCATTTCAATAAAATGGCCAAAATTGGGCTAATAATTCCCATGGGGATGTTTGGGAGGTTTTAAGAACAAAATAGATGCCATAAGTGTTCCAAAAGGGGCTGAAAATACCAGACTGAAGACATCACACTATCAGCACCATTTACAACATCAGCTCTCAGAGGCTACAAAAATATAGGCTTGGCTCGGCTATGGGACGATAAGTCTTGTTGCCATACCTTTTTCTTTCAATTCCTTATAGGTCATTAGTTTTGTGAGGAGTGGAAAAGCTACACATATTGCACAAACATATGCAGACGAAAGTCCTTGGTAAGTAAGCAGAAATCCTGAAATAGACCAAAGTGCAAGTGGAACATCAAAGAAGAGTTCTCCTAGGAACTGTTCATTTGCATGCTGGGAAAAGAAAAACAAAATAAAAATGTCAATCCTTTTTGATTTAAATTTAAAGACAAAGCATCAAGCATTTTAAGAGCAGAAAATTGCTTCTTAATACACAATATATAGAAAGTTCCACTTCCTGTGTAAACAGGAACTGTCCCAATCAGAAATTGTCTACTACTTCTGACTACAAACACAAGGGCTGCAAAAGGAAGCCTTAGAAAAAGCAAGTATAAGGAAGAATCTAGGTGAACACAGCATGACAGCTTTCCAGAATCTTATCACACTTTTGAACAAATGTGGCTGTACTAGAAATTTAAAACAGTTATTTTAGGGTTTCAATTATTAAGGAAGGGTCAGCATCATCTTGTCAAAAATCACAATTTTATCCCTGGATTCTGATAGCTTTGAGAAGGTCAAAGGGCAATCAAAATGATCTGGGATTCACATACAGCCTGAGAACTGCTTATTGTGTTATAATGAAATTCACTTGGAAATTTTGCTTCGCTAAGGAATTTAGAGGAAATATCAAAACATGTAATCTACAAGGACCAAATAACAGAAAGTAGGGATAGACTTCTGCCTAGAGAAGAGTTTTACTGAGCAGTCTGACTCATCTAACAGAGATCTTTACATTTATGAAAGGAAAATAATCATTGCTAAATTAAATCATGTAATAAAACATAATAGTACTTACTTTATAATAAAATTTCTTGGCTAATGTATGCACAAAAATCAGTATAGCCAGCGCTGCAGATCCGTAGAGAAAATGGGCGACATAGTAGTGGGTATACCAGCAAAGAGATTGTCCAATAAGAGAAATAAATATTGCCACAAGAAGGATGCCAATGAAGGTGACAAAGAAACCAAGCACTATAAAGCCTAAAGCAACGGCAAATTCCTTCAGATAAGTAATTGCTGGAAGGGGGGAAAAGGAAAAAGATATTAAAATCAGAGATATACTGTTCTATTTCTTTTAGGAAGACTCTAAAGTAATAAGACATGGTTCTTGGTATAAATAAAAAAGGGAAACAAAAACCACAAAGCTTTTTCCTTTCATGGCTGAATTGCAAATTATTGCTTTACATATTTTACCTTTTTGTATTCTAGTCACAGTGTTTCTGATTTGACTTAATTGCAACATGGCAAGGCTTTTACTCTTTTATGGAAGAAACTGATTCTATACAGTATATAGCAGGTTGTGTCTTATTAAAATGAGCAGAAAAATTCATTTTGCTTGGTCCCATGGCTCTCAACTCAGTATTTTTCACTTACTCTCTAAGATGCATTTCTACCGATTACTTTTTCTTCTAGACCAAGAAGCATTTCATGCATAAGCCATCAGAAGCATCATATCAGGGTTATGAAGGGAGAAAGGCAATAAGCATAATAGGCCAATGTCTATATATTTGAACCCCTCTCTGGATCCTCTGCCTAGTTTTTGCACCAAAACCAGGGCTTCCCTACGAGCACCTGGTTCCCTCTGTTTTTTCCAAGGTCTTGGGTGAAGCCACCACCCACAACCAGCTGGATCCTTCACAGCATTTATTGGATGGAACTCATGCCTTTGGATCTTCACCTGACTTCCAGGGAAGCTACTTCTGGATTGTTCTTCTCTTCTCCCCAAACATGAACCAGCACTTGCTATGTGGGGGTGGGGGTGGGCTCACCTAACCTGCTTGAAGAGGCTGCTGGCGTGCCAACCAGCACTCCCTTAAGTGATAAGCATGCCCATTCCCAACTGCAGAAGAGCCTTGACACCCGCCCCACACTTCACATAGCAGTGGTTTTCAGGCCCACACCTCCAGTCCTATAATGGAGATTTTTCCTTGCGTTTCTGAGGATGCTTTGGATTGTTGAGGCAGCATAGGAGCATTCTTCATCCTATCTGGGACCATGACCAGGAACTGTGCAGTTCTTTGAGGTCTTGCCTAATTAGCCCTTTGCACCTTGTTCTGCTTTGGTTCCATGACAAGCTTAAAGTCCCGTTGTCAACCTTAGGGTTAGGTTTAGGGTCTTATGAAATTCTGGAAAATCTGCCTCTAAGCTTGACCTCAGAGTGCTGCAGAATTGCTACCTTCACAGCACCATAATCTCCATCTCAAAACTCATAATTGCAACACAGAGTTAATCTAGCCATCCATCATAACCCTGTTAAGTACTGGTAACTGTCAAGCATGCAACTAGTTTCACCATCTTGTTCCTTTTTGCCAAGCCCTGTGTTTTTGACATCTGCTCTATCAGAGTCCATCAAACAGTCCAAGTCATACACGGATAAGTCAGTCAGTCATCAATGTCTTTCAGTTAAGGGATAATACAAATAACATCGTCCAGTATCATATAATTAGTCTGGTAATCAAAGTTTGCTAACAGTTGCAAAACTTACAATATCTCACGGCACTTTCTAACAGCATCTAACAAACAGAGAGCTAACAGTCATTCTGACTCCCTCTTATGGCCTATTGAGGAAAATAGCAACCAATCACATTTTACAGTATGATTTAAGAAACAGGTACAACATTGTGACATGATTTATATATTGCCAACCCAACCGTTAGATTATATTCCTAACATGTTCAAACATAGCAAGAAAGTCCTGTGGAACTTCTTCCTCCAACCCCACCCCATATAATTACACTGGCACAGATATGGCTTCAGTCCCCCCATCGGCCTCAGATACCTCCGCCCTTTCCAACATTTTTCCAAACAGTCCACATCCCTCCTTTTTCAGTTTCTGCACAAGCTACTTGAAAGCTCCCTCTTGGCTTTCAAATTTTCTTTCTCTTTTCCTTCACTTCTGCTCAGACTCCTCCAGAGAATCACTCCTGGCTCATACTCTCTCACTGTTGCCTCTCTTTCCTTTGAGATGTGTCACTGGTTCTTGTATACAGGGGAGTCGGCTCCAAAAGCCCAGAAAGCCAACTCCACCCCACGTGGCCTCTAGACGATACATCTACAAATGCTAGTACTCACTACTTGCTATACCACTCTTCCCTAAAACTACTAAAACTCTTGTTCCTCTACTACTTCTCTTTGTGAGCCCTAGTTTTGAAAACAATAAATCTTCTATGTTCCTTAGGCTGCTTCAGGACGTTTTAGTTTCACAAACCACCGTAAACCATATAGTTTCAATTGGGAAACTGTGACCATCCTAGACCAAGCCAAATCCAAAAACGCCAGGGAATTTCTGTGCACTCTGACAAATTAGCCATCAATAGACACATAGACATAAACAATAGCTACATACTATGCAAAAGAGACAATCAACAAGACAAAAAGGAGACAAAAAGACCAAAAGACGTCCCCACCAGCAATCAGCATCCAGATGAGCATAGATCCCAAGATTAACATCAGACCAGCAATCAAGTAACAGTACCCCAATCAAGAAATTGCCAAACAAGCCAACAATAACCAGCCCAACCAAAGAATTTCCTCCAACAACATCAGGGAAAGCCACTAGCATTTAAACTGAGAAACCCCACTTCTTACTAGCACTGATGGCTGTCAGGGTTTTAGGTAATGAAATACCTGCAAGAAAACAAGCAAGCTCAGACGGCACCAAGGATCCCTCAGATCTTAATGAGACAGGGCAGCAACCCAGATACTGGCCTCAAGAAGTTATCACTCCAGGTGTAGCATCTCCTGTACGCTTTGCATTGGATTTTATAAACATTCACCACAACTACGAAATGCCTTAGCAAGCTTCTGGTAACCGGTCTGTTTAGTTTCTGTAGCTTGGCAAACATTCCTCCTTGTCACATATCCATGCTTTGTGTTAACCATTGGCTCTTTAACAAGAGGGTAATTAGCCCCTTGTTGGGTGCCATTTATATGTTATAGTGTGACAGGGTTTAATTTTGAACTGGAGGTCTACCTCTGAGCAAAGGCAGCAATAGACACAGAAACACAGAACAGTAGAAGAGGCCTTATGCTTTCGACTTTATACAGATTATTTACAACGGATATAAATCACAGTTCTGACATTGGGTCTCCCTACTAGGCCTCTCTATCAGCGACCATCCACCTTTACCTCCCCTGCTTCCTCCCCGTTTCTTTCCACTTGATTAGAGAGAAGGAAGAAAAGAAAGGAATTGGCTGGGATTACTTTTTTCCATCTCAGCTTAATACCTTCCATTTCTCAATAGGGGGAAGAATCTCTCTCAGCATCTTCTGTCCAGATTTCCTCCAAAGCCAGAGCTTCCTACCAGCAGCTGATTCCCTGTGTTTCTTCCAATCTTGGGTGAAGCTACTGCTTGCAACCAGGCACACTCCTCCTAGCCCTCCAGGGTCTTGGGACTCTAGTTATTTGCTTCCTGACTTCTAGGGAAGCAACCCCTGGATTGTTATTTTCCTCTCCCCAAACAGGAACCAGCACTTGCCCTTCAATTCAGTTCTTTGATTTACTCTCAAACTTCTCTCCATATTTTGCTCTCCAGTATCTCTGGTTGCTCCAGCTATAAACATTACTCTCCCCCACCCCTTCTCTCCATTCCTTCTCTCACACTCTGTCTCCAATTTTTGGTTAAACTGGCAACATGTCCCATAGCAATTGAGGAGCTCCTAGTAGCCGATCAGCTCATCAGCCTCATGACAGCAGAGTTGTCAAAGCTAAACTTTCTAATCCATATGCCACAATATGCAAACAAGGCTTACTTAGTCTTCCTTTACTTTTAACTCCTGCTTCTAATCTATTTTACTTCCTACTTCTTTTTCTATATTTTATATAAGATTGCTTATTCTTAAACAGAACAATATTCCTGGATAATGCCTGTGTGGGACAGAACATGATATGAACTTACCTCTTTTTCTTGGCTGTAGAACTTTTTTGCTTAGATAAAGCATGGCCACTGACGCAATGATGCAATTCATAATGGCACCGACACGAGCTGGGTAAGCCATAATAAACATGCCAAAAACATCAAAGAAGACAACATTTCCGTGTTGATACTCCTGAGATTTGGTTGATATATCTGACTTTGCTAAGTATTTTAGCACAGCTAAGATATTGTCACCTTAGGGAGAAAAATAGTATATATTAAGGATTTATCTTTTATTAAGTATATCAGCACACCATTTCATTAATAGTATATCATGAAACAATTGGAATTGGGTTTTTTTTTTAATTCTCAAAACAAATAAAAATTGAAAGGGGAACAGTAAATGGCTGGACAAAATTCAATATACTGAGGGCCTGGGTTTTTAAAATATAGTTACAAAACATTAATACAAATAAAGAAATAATTCAGTATAAGGGCCAATAATGATAAAGAAGCAAGTAAGATGTAACCAGGGGAAAATTAAAAGAAAAGTGTATAAAAGTAAGATATATCTAAATTGTTTTTAGTAATTAAAATCAACTAACTTTACCCAAACTCCTTAATATAGAAGCAAAATTAATTTATCTACTTACATTTATCCATAAACTTTTTATTTTCAAACATTATCTTTAGGATACTGAGATTTTGGGTCTATTAATTTCAATTTTCGTTAAAGGGAACAATAATCTTATCTTGCCATTGAAAGTCATGAAAAACTGCAAATACTAACCTGCTCTCTGAATAGAATCTGTCAAAATTCGATCCACCGTGTCATATTTTGTATGATAGATGTAACCATTTTCAATGAAAGCCAGGTCTATTCCTGTCAGCATAATAAAATCAAATCATAATATTATTTAATATAATTTTGTAATATAACTTTACAAAGTATTACTAACTAAATTTAATAATTTGACAAATAAGGTTACATTAACTATGAAGAGCCATGGTGGTGCAGTGGTTAGAATGCAGTACTGCAGGCTACTTCTGCTGACTGCCGGTTACTAGCAGATGGCAGTTCGAATCTCACCAAAATGAGGACCCAGATTGTTGGAGGCAATATGCTGACTCTGTAAACTGCTTCAAAAGGGCTGTAAAGCACTGTGAAGTGGTATATAAGTCTAAGTGCTATTACTACTAAAGTTTCTACTAAACAATCATATTTTAATATTTGCTTACAGCTTCATAATTTTGATTGTGTACTTATTATTTATGCTTTTCTTTCTTTCTCACATGTGGCTTCGGAAAATGTTTCAGAAAAATATTAATAAACAGTTTTTATTACTCTGGTTGGTAAAGCTGACAGCGCAGAATGCAGTACTGCAGGTAAACTCTGCCCACAGCCTGGAGTTCAATTCTGATGGGGCTTAAGGTTGACTCAGCCTTTCATCCTTCCTAGGTCGGTAAAATGAGGACCCAGATAGTGAGGGGCAATATGCTGACACTGCAAAGTGTTCAGAGAGTGCTATAAATCACTATGGTGTGGTATACAAGTCTAAGTGATATTGTACTGCTAAACCAACATTTACTCAGAATTGGCCCAGCCATAATGAGGAACAAGGGAGGTTCTCCTTGTCCAACTCACCATTCTTAATAAAACCACTGTCTTTGTAATCCCACCATCATTATTTTACTTCTTTGGCTCAGAAAATCTGCTATGTGCACATCAACATTAGACATGAACATCATTGGACAGCTCTGTATCACAAGTTTTTCTTTGCTTTTATTGGCTTGACAATCCTACCACCTATTTTTCATTGTCCTTCCAAGTATAGGCCCAAAATCTGATCCTACTAAGCCTATCTAACATACCTGGAACATTGCCAAAATCTCTGTAAATACGGAAATCTGTGTCTGCAGGGATGACACCACTCTGAAACACCTCTTGAGCCACGATAGAACCAAAAGGGTGCTTAGCAGCAGAGATGTATGCCTGTACCAGCCAAGGGTTTTCAGGTCCTGTAAGAATTAAGAGAATAACTGTGAAATAAAAATAAAATTTAATGTAGTGTTCTATATTTAAATTTGTGCTTTGCCATAAGCAAAACACATGGCTTTGATTCTAAATATGATTACAAAAGCAAATTCACAGGAATTTTAAATTCCTCTTGTCCCATTCCCTTTCCCACATTTAACATGACACACCTGAGAGTGGCTTTTCAGAGGACACGCTCTACCGTGACCCAAGGGTAGTAAAAAAAAAAAAAAAACAATGCCACAATTCAATGAAGTCAAAGATGCAAAAAAATTGCTCAACTTATTTGTCAATTGACCACAAGTTTTCCAGATGGTATGATTGGTAATCAGCAAATTTAATTCAAGAGGAAGTGTCCCATTTACCTGTACAACTAAGAACAACAATGGTTTGAGAATGTTAGCTGCTCACAAGGAAAAGTCACAAGTCATCTATGTTGCTTATAAATGTTATCATCTTAGGCCATTTGTAAAATTTTGTATGATCTCAAATCACAATATGAATCAATCCTTAGGGAAAAGAAACTGAAGGCTATGAAAAATACATGGCATTGACACATCCTTTCTATCAAGAAAAGGAGTACTTCTTGGTTTGGGTGAATTTCTGCTCAGGGCCAGTCAGGACTCAGTTCAAACTCAGGGAGAATATTATGAAACTTTGTATACTGTCCCCAATTACAATAGAGAAGATGCTTAAGGACTGGAATAACCATAAATTTTCCTATTTCCCCCAAAATGAGGAAAGCCTCATTAATCACAAACTTACCTTAATACTATCCCAGACAAGTTGTATGCAAAGAATGTGAGTAATAAACTCTAAGCTTGGATGAAATCCAAGGAAATTATACAGGACAAATAAGTTGAGATCGTCAGTCAGTGTACACTGTATTTTGAAATTATATCATTTTATCCAGGAATAATTTATATAATCACCCTTATTTGTGGCATTTTTGGACTTTTTAGTTACCTTTGACTCTACAATTAGAAAGACTCTGTGGGATAAACCCAGGAATACCAACATGAATCAGTGTCTTCTTTGTATGATCAAAAATTCGTATGCAAACTCCTTCTTCAGACTTAGATATAATAACCAAGGGCTGTTTTCAGAAGCGATATTCATACAAAGGTTTCAGGAATATATTTTGGGCCCTAATTATTGTTAACTATTCTTTAATTCTGTGACTGAGACAGTGACTAACACAGATTGTTATACCCCTAACATCTCCTATATGGAGATGATGTAGACCTTATCTCCTGCTCACCCATACAACTTAGAATGCCAATGAGTTCTGTAGTTCAGCACTGCAAACTGAATAGGTTGGTAGATAATTTCCAAAAACTGAAAATCATGACATTTGCTAAAAGAGCCAAAGTCCAAAAATGAACATAGAGTAGAATCCAACTGAACCCAATTAAATATATAGAGTGATTTTCCCATCCCACAGGAAACTGCAACAGCCAATAAAATGTATTTTTTTTTACTAACAATGAATTAGTACCAGCTGTCTTAAAACTCCTCCTAGGTAATACTTTGACCCAAATGTTGTATGCCATTCAGATGGCTGTTTAGGTAAGGAAGAATCTTCCTTATATAAATTTCGGTAGCAAGCAACTAAATACTTGCTACATCCAGATGGGTTTCTAATGCCTTTCTTAGGTTATAAAGTGCCTAAAGCTGAGATCAGTATATGGAGGTTGATGTTAAACTGCAGCTAAAACTCCAGCTCTTTCATGTTTAATTCTATTAACATTGGCAGATCACTTTCCATCAAGCTGCAGGAATGTCATACAACAAAAATGAATGTCATGTCAGTTCTCATAGACTGATATAGCCCTGGGATACCACTATGCCAAACATATATTTGTGCAGAGACTAAACAGCAGTGACTTCCAGATGAAAATAAACATTTATCCCAGAGAAGCAGGACCTGGGTCAGAAAGGGCTTCTGGAAAGAGGCCAGCTCTGTGTCCTCATTTACCTTTTACACTATTCAACACACATTTACATTCACAAATACCAACTGTATTTAAACTTATTACCAAATATGCCAATTAAATTTCATAAATCTATTTATAAAAGCAATAATTCCCCTTTATCACAGTAATCTGTCTTTAAAAGGCCACAATAAAAGCTCTGTGGTAGCAATGAAACAGTTATGTAACAAAGAATCATTTAACAATTAGCCAGTCTTAAAAACCCAACTAAAAATTACATATAACAGCAAGTAATGAAAACAAAATAATTGTTTATCAGAAATGAAAATCCTATTGTGATCTTCAACTGAAAAGCTGCATCAAAAAGGAGGCATTGTGATTTTGAAATGAAATTATCACAAGACTTATATGAGCGGTATTAAAAATCTTACCAGTCTGAAACACAAGTTCTTTCCCTCCTACTCCAGCAGCCTCTAGATTAATAAATGCTTTCACTGATTTGGCCCACGGGTGTTGTGTAATGAAGCCATGACTAGCCTTGATTTAAACAGTAAAGACAATGGACAGAAAATATGTATTAGATATGTTTGAAATATCTTCTGATTGCACAAAGGAGATTCTAATTCTGGAAAAACGTTGTATTGTTTTCTTGGCTTTCTTGCTTAATTAGTTCAAAGTTTATTAGGTTACAAGCCAGCATCAAAAAACTAATAAACATATATTAAGTGTGTTTATACATTATACAACATAAAATATAAAAAGAATAAATGATATAACAATTCACTAATAAATGTTAAACAGGCCATCTTTTTCATAGTCCAAGAAGAGAATGTGCACATTTGAAAGATTAAGTAATCTAATGATTAATCTTGGCAAGCAGTAGCAGTTACACAAAACAGCCATTTTATATAGTTTCAAGGTATCCTGATCTTCCAAAAGAGCAGCTTGCTAGAATAGTTTTCCCAGCTCAAAGAGGGAAGGACCATTTTAAACAAGCACGGTCAACTCCCTGAGCATTGTAGAGCAAACTATTCTTTTCTTAATTGCAATACAGTGTTTTCATAAAACACATGCCCACACATGTGCATATAATCAAGATTAAGAACTGAACTCAGTTTCACTGTCATGATGGGAAAGAAAAAAAATCTTACTTTTATTTCAAGTATCTGTCAAATCCTTCAGTTTTATACACCTTCATAGCAATTTTAGCATCTTATTAAAAAATAAACTCTGTACGTTTGCTCATATTAAAGTATTAAGAATCTACTCAGTGTTTTCTTACCTGTAAGATACTTTCCTCTGCCCCATTAAAGAGGAATATAACAGATTGTTGCAAAGATTCAGACGATTTTGAAAGCGTGTGCAGTATTTCAAGCATTACAGAACAGCTGATAGCATCATCACTAGCACCTTAACAAAATAAGATATATAACACACTAATTACCTGACGCTGAAACATAATTATAGAACATTTAGAAATATCATAGTATAGAAGACTGGAGGAGCTCCAAACCTGGGTTATGCCCAACAGGTTGACACATTTATATACTTTTCTGCCCATAAAATTTAAACCATTTAATATATAAAAAGTTTTTTTAAAAAAGTTTACTGTTCATTGCAAACAGGAACTGAATTGTATAACTCAACTCTGCCAAATTTACCATTACAAAATTACTGAATTTAGATCATTCAGGTAGAATAGTAGTAAAAAGAAGAAAATTCACAACCTGCAAAGACTTGCAGCATTAATTGCTACTGCAATTTTTTTTCCAGTTGGAATGTTCTATAGGACAAATTGGGACAATGTTCAGTAGATTTTGAATTGCCCAGATGAATTCATAAATATTTTCAAGAATCTAATTAAATGAATAAGTTATATTTGTTTTTAAGCAATATAAATTTAATTAAACATATATTGTTCATACAAACAGTATGCAATTTTAAATGAATATGTTGAGAATTAGTTCAACAGAAAAAGCTGAAACAGAAGAGAAGAACAATTATTTCATTTCTCAATCCAATTAGAATAATTTTGAAATAGTTACTGTATTCAATTACACTACATTTTTAAGAATAGAAGAGCTATACCCCAGTGTCCTGTGACTGTCTTTGATGGCTAGAAACACAATGGAATTAAAAAAGAACTCAACAAATATAAAAACATTTTATTATAATGAATTAATGAAGAATTACCTCTGGGCATTAAACAAATAATTTTTCAAGTGTAATTAAACTTCATTTTTAAACAGAAAAGAAACAACACTTTTCTGTGAAATACAATTTTTCCTGTAAAATACTTTGATCTATTTACCTGAAGTATCTGGTAAAGAATCAAAGTGACAATTCAACATCACAGCATGTTTAGCTCCTCTTCTGGGTTCCAGTTTAACAGCAATATTAGTAATATTGTCATAATAACTGGTGAATCCTCCAAGAAAGTCAATACTGAAAGTGCCTGTTGGCCTCTGTATATCTACAGAGATTGTATGGGCATGATTGCTTTTAATTTCAATAGCTTTAACTTGTTTCAAGAGGTAGTCAACAGTGAAAATTTCATTTTCTGGACTTCCAACAATTCTCGGACCAATTGCAGTAATATTTTCTAAATATTTCCTGTGGGACATAAAAAATAAAACATTAGAAAATTATTATAAAATATTTCATAATTTCCACCAATCACTCCATTAAAGAATTTAGATTATTATTACAGAAACAAAAATGTACCCACTTTTTGCCAACAAGAACAGTCAGGTTTTTTTCTACATTTATTATGTATGGTAATTTTTGAAAGACCTAATTCAAGGTTCAACAATTAATATCCCATTTAAACTATTTTGGAATTCTATCAGTAGTATATATTGCACCAATTGAAAATCACTGACTTAAAACACAGCAATTGATACACATGGGTGAAATGTACAACTCTTATAAATTCTGACTCAAGCATCAAATTTATTGATATGTACTATGAAATAATTCTAATAACTTTTTCATGATTTGTAGGTCATGAGGTTCATATGTAATGCTCTATTACCTATAAGAAAAAATGTAGAAGACTTCAGTACTGCAGCGTACGATTCATACACTTATATGTGACCTACTTAACCTTAAGATCTGGCTATCCTGCCAGGCCTGGGGATAAGATCTTCATACACCCCACCCGAATGTTGAATGAATGTTGTGTTTTA